AGGATGTAATCACACTGCTCACACGAAGGCAAAAATATAGGAAAGGCTAGGTCAAGGGTTAAATTCATCAAATCTAATGAGAATGGACTAGCGAAGTAAAGCACTGCAGTTTTACATAATTTCTGAGTAAGCTATTCATACGAATTGAAATAATTCTTGCATTTAAACTTGTACTCCAAATTAAGATTTAACTTGAAATTAATGTAGATAGAGAGAATTAGATTTTTGTAGTATAGTTTACATGAGATGAGATTATTTGGGGTCATGTGAATCAGGATGTTGTACCATGAAAGCATAGTAAATTCTTAAATTAATGCCTTTTTACAAATTTATTGTCTTTATTTATTGGCTTTTTTAAAAATTTAAACGATATTAAAATGTTTATGCCCTCAAAATAAAAAATTCTTATAACCAACATTTGTTAACATTTTATATGCGTATGTTATGTGTGTGCTTGGTGAGATTTGCACCGGCGAAATGGAAAAGTATCTATAATTTCAATATGTTATCATTATTTTAATGATTTTCAATGTTAAAATGCTTAAAAAAAATCGTCAAAAAATTCTCAGATCGCTGAAAAATTTTTTTTTATAGAAACTGATCTTAAATTTGCCAAAACATTGATACATCACCAAATTTAGAAACGTTCAATAAAAGAATTCACATCACCAAAAGCAAAAAATTGTTTAAGAGCTATTCATTAGAAAACAACAAAATAAATTCGAAATGCTTATGTTTCACTTTTTGCCCAGAACGTCGAGTACCTTAACGTTTGTATTAGAAATAGGAACAAACTATAACCCATTCACCCATTAAAAAAGATAACCATATTTATCAGTGAACCTTTATTTTAGTTTAGTAACTAAAATAACGGTGTTTTTGGTACAAAAAACTATTGAACAGACGATACATTTTAAAAATTTTTTATTTTTGTATCTTCATTTCAGAAAATTTAAATTTCAAAATTTGATCAACAATATCTTCGTAATCTATCCCTTGAAGAATATCGTATTCTCTAACAAGTATTCCAAAAGGCAAGCATTAAGAATTTTCACATAATTTTTAACATATTTTAAAACAGAGAAAAGTAAATTAAAATGATGATTAGATATTAAAAATGACCATATAACGAATTTTCACCTTCCGTATTGTATTGTGTACTGTGTAATTGGTAAGCATGTTCAGATGAGTTGGATAATTCATTTCAAATCTCGGTGAGGTCATAGCTGATTATCCACGCTTCTTGCTCTGAAAAACATATCTCTACAGTGACATCAGACAAAATATGTTGATAGTAATAATTCTTCACCACATGGATTTCAACGATCGGGTCTTTTCCATTCTGCCAGTCGCTATTTCAGTAGAGAAGTGTATAAGAATTTCCGTCTTCCCCACTATATCATCTTGTGGTGTAACTAATAGCCTCATCGTTTGAAAATCGAAGTTCTGGGCTTGGAATCTCGGAATAACAAATACAGAAATACAAGAAAGCATAGCTGATTTTGGTGTTTCCTGATCAACTTAAATATCTAATAGCTCTACAAACTTTGCCTTTTGTGTCCAGAATCATAAGACATATGTCTCCCATTAATGAACATCAGAATTCTCAACGAACCATCATCATTACGCTTTACAATGTGCTCTTTCTCCTTGCAAATTTGAAGGCAGAATTAAGTCATACATGTGATAATGTTATCCATATGGTCTATGTATTTATCACATCACTATTTATTTTATTATTTTATAATAATAATGTGCTAATTGGGAAAATTTCATGGATATCTTGAAAAGCTGGGAAACCTGACGTACAATTTCATATAAATTAAGATAGATTCATTCGCTATTGCGGCATAAATTCTTTCATAAAGTAGGAGAGAGGCATAATACTTAAAACACTATATCATAAAATAACTTAACCAACACTGCAATATTAAATTATGTATTAAAATTTATTTTGAAATCATTAATGAAAAATTAATTGGTTGGTAATTAATAGATACAAGAGGAATTTACTTTTATTAAATCATTGTAATTTTTGCAAGTTTTAAATACTGCAACAGAATAGCTAGCCTTTCTAGTAGTGGAAGTGAATGTACAACGTTTGTACAACGTGTATGTAGTATTTGGGTGGGAGGAAAAGAATACCGAATGTACCGGTATTCTTTTCCTCCCACCCAAATACTACACACGTTTGAATGCTATCAAGATTTTACATTTTCGCAATTTTGGCCATAACGACTTCACAGTCGTACTCTCGCGCGCCCATAGGTTCCGTTATGCAGAGGAAGGGGGAAAGCAATTTTCGGGATATGATTCACCATCTGCGTTGCATATAAGGAAGAAAAGTTGTTTATTAGTTTCGATTTGTACGGTGGAAAAAGCCTTCATTAAAAATAAAGGATAAAAAAAAAAAAACACTAAGCAAAAATAAGCAAAAACAAAAATAAGGACTTAAGAAAAGTAAGCACGAAAGGGCCTTTATATTTTATTTTCAATATAAGGACTTATAGCACTTTAAGACCGCTCGAACCTGTTTATGCTCTTAAATATCAATTTAGACATTTTATTTAAGGCATTACTCTAGAGATATAAATATGAAAATTATTATTTGTTAAAAAAAAATCTCGAAATCATTTTGCTGGAATATTGCTTCAGGTATACTTCTGAAAGATCATTTTGCCCTCTAACTTAGTACATTTAAATACGAGCCCAATTAAAAAAAAAAAAAAAAAAAAACTATTGAATAAATGAATACCTCAGATTTAATTTGAACTTTTCGATTAGACGCCATGTTTTTTTAAATGGCTGCATGGGTATTTTCTTAGTTTTCCCCATATGTAATGTGTATACGAGTCATTTTCCATTAGAAAGTCCTCCACGAAGGCATCTTGTTTCTTCAGCAGATAGGGGCTTTGTCATAATCAGCTTAAACGAAACCATTTTAGGAAGTATGCAGCAAGCACTTTTATTGATGCCTTCAAAGCTTTTCAGTTATCAGAAGTTCTAATGATATAGATCATATAAGAGATCTGTTCTAATGATATAGATCATATAAGAGATCAGTTCTAATGATATAGATCAGTAAATAACATCTTCATTGTTTCCATGAAACAATTAAAATAATAAAATTATGCATGTTAAATATGCATGAAGTTAGCTTATGCAAAATATGCTTATGTTTTTAGTAACTTTGAAAAAAATCTTTTAGACATTTCAAGAGTTTTGCCTTTCAACAGAGAAAAATTAATGAGGGAATTTGCTTAGAAAACCAAAATTGTAACTAACGAATATTTTACTAAAATCTGTTGTTTACAAATTATCAATTAAAATTGCTTCATGAAGATCTATCTTTAAGTCAAATAAAAGAGAATTGGATTAGTCCATACATAATATAATTATTGAAAAGAATCATAACCGGAGACTTCAAAGTGATTTTGATTGCTTGTTAATTAGCCAGTTCTATCAACCCTATTCTATTTGCACAATTATTCAGAAATAAAATTTGAAATAAATGAAACTAATATGAAATAATCCCTACTTTTGGGTAGATAAAACATACTGTGTGATATTAAATGCATATCATATGCCAAACAGGAAAATATTTTTCTCCTTAAGAAAGAACCTTATAAGCTAAGCTTGAAACTCATCTTGAACTCAAAATGAAGGTCAATTTTTTTGTCTCACATCTTTTTCTGGAGCTTTACTTTTTCACAATTCATTTTAGTTTCTCTCAGCTCTCGATAAATGAATCAGGCAAGCGTTACCAATTATTTCGATATAAAAATTCATTAAATAAGCAATTTTTAAAGCAGTAGTAAGTAGTGCATGTGTAATAAATATTTTGCTTTTAATATAAACAGTTCGACACAAAATGCTTTTATTCAAAGTTCAAAAGTTGCAGCATTCATTTATACACGAATGAAAATATCGTCTGATTCTTAATATGGAAGTTCTATTCATATTATATAGAGATGAATAAAATAAGAGACCTTGCACCACGCGAAAATGCAGTCAGAGATTTGAACTCAAACAACGAGAAAGGGAACATGGGCGCCGATGTACTATTATCATTTTAATAAAATTTAAAATACCAGTACAAACAGACATGAAACATTTTATGAATACAAATATAACAGCACGAAAAGAGCAAAAAAAGATTTCTTAAATACATATCCTAAAAGTTTTACAATTTGTCTATCATATTAAAAATAATTTTTAATTCAAAGCTCCCCTGTGCCCAAATGGGTTAGCCCAGAAGGGCTATTAGACTCAAAATAGCATTTTGGGTTGAGCCACTTTCGAAATTGTTGCCACTAAATATTATTGCCCTGTGTTATATTTAAAGAAACTAAGTAATGAAGAATCTACATGAATGTATGTATGTTTCTCACATTGTAAAAAAATGACGATACCTAGAGTCATCAAATTTTTAATAACATAGTCCTCCACAGGAACATGGGCACCTGGAAGCCCAAATTAGGAATTCTGAATTTGTTTTTACTGTTTATTTCATATTTTGCAAAACTTTAATGAATTTTTGATTAAAAAACTCTACAATTTCAAAGCGAGCAGTGGCAACATTGAACGGAATAAAACATTTTTATCTCCAGCACGTGAAGCTGTCTATCGAAAATTCTAATGATATGCTGTTATTAAATATTTTTAGAACAGTACGGTATTAGCCCGAATGCTCTCAAATGTGCACGTGTCTGTAAATGGAAAAAAAAAAAAAAAAAAAAAAAAAAAACCTATTTTGGCAATTTTTTTTCTTTAATAACTTCACTTGCATATCATTTAATAAAAGAGCAAAAATGTAATCACTTAAATTATTTAGACTCTATACTTCGCTGAAAACTATTAGAAGCACAAAAGTTTAAATCAAGCAGAATTCAAATAAACCAACACACTATACAAAAGAGGGAAAAATCAAAATACTGTATATTAAATATATGCTGTTTTTGATTAATGCATCTTAAAATAAATTTAATGAGGTATCATACTTGTTTGTTTTTGTGGGATTGTAATCATAAGATTCCCTTATTGCAACTCTGACCTTTTCTTCATTTATTTCCCATATTTTTAAGGAATGGTCCATTCCACAAGATACAATTTTTTGCCCAAGAAGATCAAAGTCCTAAAAGACAAAGTATAACGATTAATAGTAAGCGGTCAAGTACTATAAAATAAACATATTAACAGAGATCTGCTATTTACTTGTGAATTGATTCAAAGAAACATTTCACTTTACCTAGCCCAGGAGTGGTGTTTTGTCAACAAAGAGCAGTAGCTCTTTTATATTTCACCTACTAAGAGTTCTCATTGGAAACATGCCAAGAAAGTTTGATTCCCAATTTACAGAAGAAAAGTTTTAGACTCCCATATTAAAAGAGAGTTTAATTCTTATTATTTCCTAACATTTTGAGCATTTTTTCATTCTAAAATTTAATTGTTAGTTCTGTGCAAAAAGGAAGGTTTAGGAGATCTCAAAACTACAGTTGAAAGAAATCAGTCCAGAGTTAGCAATTCAAATGTTCTTAAGCAGGGTTCGTACATATTTCTGCACACGCAAATTAAGGACTTTTAAGGACCATTAATGAAAAAAATTAAGGACCTATGAGCAAATGGGAACTGAGTAAATTCAATTAAAAATATTATATCTACGCCTGAACGCGAGTAGGATGCATTATTATTAAACATACTTAACTAACATAATTATTAATATGTTTAAGATAAAATTATTTATTTATTTTTAATTTTATTAATTATTTAAGTAGCATTAAATATTTCATTTATAATAACGGACATAATTGAAAGAAGATAAGTGACATTTTAGTTAGTTTTACTACAGTAGCTTTTTTTTAATGTCTCATTATGTCACATATGTGCTCAGTAAAGTAAATTTAGGTTTAGTAAATAGCAAGTAGATTTTTATGTCAAGCAGCATAGATTAAAATGAGCATTAAAATCACAGTCAGCATGATTCATAACAAAAGACTGGCTGTTGTCACCGCTCCTGCTTACCTTTAGAGAAACCTGCTGATCAGAACAAATTTGAAAGGCCTGATGTAGGCACAGTTAAGCAAGTTTTGAAAGTTAGCTGATCTCTGTCTGACGCTGTTAGTGTTGTAGCTTAGTGTAGAGTTCTAGGGGTTGTAACTCAGTTAATATACTTTAAGGTCAAGCCACTAAAGCATTAGCGGTGATAACTTGTTTTGCATTAAGTCTCACTAGATGCAAAGTTTCACATGAATTTTTATATTTTTGTGTTTTACCTTGTGAGCATGGCAAACCTTAACACGTTGAGCCCGGCGCCGAATTTGCTGTCCTTTCCGTTCAGCCGGCAGCGAGCGATGAAGCGGTGCAATATTGCCGACTTAAATTATTTATAAATTATACAAAAAGGAAGGTGATGCAACATAAAGTCCAAAAGATTGTTCGAATGTTATGATGACAATTCAAAACTATTTGGATGCAAGATAGCCAAAAATGTTCAAAAATGTTGTTTCGTATTGTAATTGTAAAGTTAAGCTGTATTTTTGTTTAGAACGTTTTCAATAAATTTCATTAAACTACATTAATCAATTTTTCATTGAGACTATACTTATTTTTTAACTTTAATACTGTTGGTCCTGTGACCGACTCCAGCCAAACGAAAATTCAGTGCGGTCCCAGGGACCGAACCGGGGTCAGCATGATACGAAGGCAAAACTTGTTAATACAGAGTGATAATTTTTAAGGGAATGCATTAGATATTTAAATAGGTATTAGATAATCTTATCTTTACATTTACATGGCCCTATTAAAATTAAATTTATTTTTTAATAATATTTAAAAGACCCTATTAATACCACAATCTCATAAAATTTCGCAGTTTAAAATACAGTCAAAAGTCGTTAATTCGGACACCCATAATCCGGAATGATCTATAATCCGGACCTCAAAGCTAAAAACTTTCTGCGCACGCGCCGCGTTGACACATGCGCATAGGCGTTTACGCTTGCGCGTAAGACCTTTTACGTCTGCGCATATGCGTGTGCGCACGAGCAGAATACGTTTTCGCATGAGCGTTTTATTATAACGGATGGTATAAGCTAAAATATCTAATTATCTATTTCAGTTAATGTTGATGATTGAGTTGTTCCTTAATTTTCGAATTGTATCCGGCTTATATTTTTTGCAGCCTGTAAGAGCAATTTTATAAAAGTAAACTTGAACTTCGATTATGCAAATAGAATTTCCGATTCTGGAGCTGCCAAAGGATTTACAAAGTGAAAGCATGTTTCGATGTCTATCAAACAAAAAGTGGAATTGCTGTAAAAAATTGATAAAGGCATACCTGTCTCAAAATTATGCGAGAAGTATCACATTGGAAAGTCAAAAGCATATGACTACCGCTTCCGATAGCGAATGAAAGTGACAGAGAGGTTAGTTGAAAACGAAAAAGTTTCGATTGACAAGTCAATCGGTATTCTCGACACAGCAATTAACAGGAATTGAACAGTGGAACTTTGTAACTAAATAAGAAATTATGTCTGTTTATAGAATTAAAGAGAAAGTATTATACATAAAACGAAGCACTTAAAAACAACTTACATTGAAAGAAATGTTTAATAAAGTATAAAATTAAGCTTTTTTTTTTTTTTTTTTTTTTTTTTTTTTTTGTAAATTTTGATACCCTTTAGATCATAATTGTTCTTTATTTCATAATTACGGTTTCATGTTTTTAATTTAGAATTTCTGCATGCCATCTTATGAGATTTAAACTGATGATCTATAATCTGGAAAAAGACAATCCGAATCGCCGAAGTCCCGCGAGTCAAAAAGACTTTTGCTGTACATGCAATTTATGACATTGATTTTTACACAATATTAGGATAATTACACATTAAAAGCTACAAACATAAAACTCACAAAATAATATGGTCTTTATAATTTGAAGGCTGCCCAGACATTTTGGCTATTTATTTATAGCGATTTCCTTCTCAAGCATGTTTCTAACATTAGAATTTGTCTCAATGCAAACAATGTTTCATTAGTTTCTTAGTGTTTTATCTCCTAACTGCCAACCTCTCCACAAGTACTACCATGAGGGTTTACTTGATCTGGTAAAAGTTAAATAGTCCGACCCCCCCCCCCGACCTAACGTGAAGCAAATTATCACTTTGTCTGAAAGTAACTCTAATCAAATAATAAATTTAATAAAGGTTAAATAAGCTTCTTATTAAAAAAGAACTTGGAACATATAGGCATGTTCTTATGCTAACAAAATAAAATACAGTTTGTGGTGATATAATTTACAGAGAGTGAAATTCAAAATAAAAATATGGACTAGTGGTAAAAAACTATACATTTAAATTCAATTTTAATTGGTGCCGTAACTCTATTGTCATAATAAACTCAATGTCAGCAGCAGTAGTGGAAAGACTAATAATTACAACTCATCAGAGCTAGACAGGAATTAATGCAGGTAGCAGTGGAGTGCAGAAACACTCATCTTACACTCGAAAAACTCAGTTAAACTGTCTAAGTGATTTGCATTCTGATGAGGAAATGAAATGGGAATTATAGTAAAGGCTGAAAGTAAACAACTGGGAATTTACATAATAATAACTGTAATATCTTGAAGAATAATTTTCTTTCTCTTTACATATTTAGTTTTTTTTTTTTTTTTTTTTTTTTTTTTTTTTTTTTTTCAAACGTTTCCTTTTCACTTTAAATTTTGGATTTAATTAAAACTTCGGCTCAGCAAACTACAAGTTATCACTATACAGGTTTCCGCGTTATGACGCTATCGGAGATGTTTTTTCGATTTCGAATCTGTGTGGTTACGAGTAGTTGGAGAAATTCAAGAAAAAATTTGAGTTCATAACAAAAAAGTGGAGAACGATGTGTGAGTCCGAAAAAACATACTTCAATAACTGTAGCCTTGGTGGAGATAAGCACGCATGGCAATGGCATAGTGGTTAAAAAGAAATTGCCTATTTCTCGCTGAGTTTTCAATCCAGTGTGACCCAAGTTTACATAAATGAATATCAAAACAGTAATAAGAATAATAAAAATACAAAAGAAAAATATACAATATACATCAGACAGCACCAACAAAGCACACAATAGTAGGGAGAGTGTACTAAATAATTTATATATTAAATTACAATAAATATCTAAGACCGCAACGGGTGTTTCTGTTTGTTTCATTAGTAAAGTCGTACCGCATGACAGGTATTGTACTATTGTTTATACTGGGGATATTATTGAAGAATTTCTCAGCCAGTAAGTATAAATAGTAGGAATTTCTAATTCCTCATAAATGCCGTGTTCCGAATGAACCATCGGCTATTAGTGGCTTGCCTAAGTGTTACATTTTGTAACACTTGGATTTTCTTAATATTTGTAAAGCTGGTATATCCCCAAACAGGGCAGGCGTAAGAATGTATGGGACGCAAAAGGGTTTTGTAAATGAGCAATTTGTTATCTTTCTGCTATTCTAAAAGACTAAATGCATTTAGAATGTACAGAAAAAGCTGCTAATTTTATTTCTTTAGTAATACAAACATTCAGAAAAAATATGAAATACTATGGTAAGGTCGGTACAGAGCTGGGTAGCATATTTTTAGAATTTAGGGACACACTGAGCAATAAAGTCTAGAAATGGGAAAAATTTTAGAATTTTAGAATAGAATTTAGAACAGGCATTGGAAGCAGAATTTAGAAAAGCACCAGGCAGCAGAATTTAAGATACACAGAGACTGCATCAGATGGGAAAAGCATAGTGCCAGCCCTGTGTGTGATGCATTAAGGCATATTAGATGAATCTTTTAAATTGTCAGTTCTCTATATCTTTATTAATAAAAGAATTCCTTTCTATAATGCTGGTCCATATGATAAGATTAAAAGCATTTTTGATATTTTCCATGTATGTGTCTAGAGAAAAGTAGAGAAAATAAAGGGAAGATTAAAATCTAGAATCAGAAGTAAACTTACTATTATTTTTCATTGGTCAAATGAATGTTCTCCAAAGAAAGAACTGTGTGTACTACATGGAGACATTTCATTTATCACATTTTCTAGATTTTAGATCGTGAGTCTATAATTGCCTTGAATCTTTCTCACTTTCAACTTCAATTGTCTAAAATCCTAAAGAAAAATTACCCCTCCCAGTTCTGTAACAAACAAAAAATAAACTTTTATGAAAAATGGAGGAAAAAAGTGTGAAATTTTATAGAAAAACTAGATATTTGAGATGAAAATTGGAAAAAATTTTGCATGAAAAAATTAAAAGACATTCTATTAATTACCCGCTATTTTGCTTTGCTAAAAACTTTTCGTAAACTATGCTTTATAGCTTATCCTGCTTATTTCAGAAAAAAAAAAAATTGTATGTAGTGGACAAAATGGAACTTTATAATAGACAGTGAAAATAAAAAATGCTTTTTTTTAATGTATTTTTAATATAATTCCAATACATTACCATTATTTAATGAAATTTATCAATGTTGAATGTTAAAAAAAAGTCAAAAAATTCCAGTCTTGGATTAAAAAATTTATAGAAACTGATTTTAAAATCGCCAAAATGCTGTATCGCCAAGTTTTAGAACCATTTAATAAAAATTCAATCCCAAAGCGGAAGTTGTTTGAGAGCTTCATTACAAAAAAATGAAATAATTTGAAATGCTAGTTCACTCTGCTCGAAACTCGAGATCCCACCTTATTTATATTAACAAATAGGAAAAATTTAAACTCATGAACCTTCAAAACCTTGCCATATTTGCAGTGAATGCCAAAAATATTCCGACAAAATGCTAATTCAATCCAAATGGCAGTCGTTAAAAGACAGAAATTTCAGATGATTAAAATTAAGGACTTCTGGAGGTTTGGCCAAAATTAAGGACTTTTAAGGACTAAAAATCGATTCCAAAAAATTTAAGTTTAGATCTTAAGGAACCCTACGAACCTGTTCAGATAACCCGCCCGCTGGAGACGTTCTTCTTATATTCCTCACACATTGTGTCTGATTTCAATTCCACTCTTATTGTCATCAAGGTTATGTTAGGAGTGGCCTCATAAAAAACTGATTCAATACAAATGATATGATCCCATACAGAGTGGTTTTGCCAACTCTCATATGATATTTAAAAAACCACCACATAAATTTTAAAAATATATATATCATTTCATTTATAAATTTTATCTTCTAAACAGAGGAGAAAGAAGTTTCTATAAAAGGACAATAATTTGAAAATAATAGCTTCCGCATGCTTTATAATACACTATCAGAAAGCTAGAAAACATTATGCAATTTACATATATCTAAAAAAACGTAAAACTGCTTAGTGTAAAAAATAAACAAATGATGTCAAATTTCTAGTTAAAAGTCATTTGATACTATATTTTCCTTAATTCTTATTAAATAAAAAATATTTATAAATTTAAAGATATAGGCTTACTTACTGCACTTAAAACTTCATCTCTATGACCTTCTACACCACCAAAAATGGCTATGCATTGATCTGTCTTTATGTTCCACAAACGCAAAGCATGATCTAGTAATTAGAAATATTTTAATAACCCTATGCAATATAACTGGAAGATCGAAATAGCAAAATATTGAATACAAAATCATTTTAAAATACCTTTGCTGACAGAAAGCAGAAGGTTGCAATCAAAAGGATGGAATTTCAGCTCATTTATTGCATTTCCATGGCCAATGTAATGCTACATTAAAATTAAAACTTATTATTATTGATAGAATTGTAATAACTGGATAAAATAAAGACAGAAGTATGCAACCTGAATTTAAATTTTAAATCATTAATTTAAAAAATAAGTATGCAAGTTATAAACTTTCCTCAAAGCACTTACACAGTTAGTGCATAACCATATCAAATTTACTATCTAAAAATAAATGAAATGCAGTTAAAATATCTAGAATAGAATTCAATTTAATAAATATAATAAACGTAACTGAAACAAAATGTACATGATTAATAATAGCACAATGGGTAATAAGGTGTTAAAAAAAAGCAGCTATGGCCTTTATTTTCTTAAATATTCATACTATACATACACTTACGATTTGTATAAATAAAAAATTCCATTGGATAAAATGTTCATCATGCTTTAATATACTAACTAGGAAACATTCCATGCCTTTGTAAGATAATTTTGCACAGACATTACAGAATTGATTTCTTCACCTAAATCACCTTTCAGTGTCAAATACTGAAAGATTTTAGAAAGAAATTACAAATCAAAAGTTGTTCTTTTGGCAATTAAGGATTCTAAGCATTTGCTATTAACTTTACAGCTAGTCTCACAAAATTATTAATTACTACTACCTTAAATAAGAAAATACTACAGCGAGCCAGAATAAGACAAGAACGTATCTATTAATGTGAAAGTTAAATGTGATAGATGAATAATATAATGGTGATAAATTTTATCATTATTAAATTACTTATCTTACTGATTTATAAAATGGAATATATAAAAGCAAAAGTTTATTAGTCACAAAGTTTTCATTCTATAAATATTTTTATATAACTTAATTGAAAAAAAAAATTTTTTTTAAAACTTTAATAGTCTTTTGCACTGCTGGTCCAATAATACGTATAACACCTCTAGTTCCAGCAGCAGCTAAAAGTGGATGTCCACTGACATCATCATATGACCATGCACATGTGTAGAAATTTTCATCAGTCTGTATACAAATTAAGGAAAGCAAAAGTATTTAAATAACCAAGTTAGAGAAATTAGAATATTAGATAAAAAAGATAGGATTAGAATACAATAAAAATGCAAAAATCACTATACATATATACATACAGTACAAAGTCAGAAATCTGGACTAGTCGGGATTTTGCCGATTCTGAATTTTTTGGGATAATAGATCATCAATTTAAATCTGGTAAGATGGCATGCAGAAATTATACAATAAAAAATATGAAATCGTAATTTATGAAATAATGAACAATTATAATCTACAGGGTATCAAAATTTACACAAAAAAGCTTAGTATTTATTTGTATACTTTATTAAACATTTCTTTCAATGTAAGTTGTTAAAGGTGCTTCCACAAAAATTCAAAAATTTCCTTTTTCTTTTTCATTGTGTCACATACAGTGGACTTTCCAATGCCATACTCCTCACATAATTTTGAGACGGATAAGCCTTTAGCCATTTTTTGCCGCAATTCCACTTTTTGTTTAATGTACATCGAAACAAGGTTTCGCTTTGTAGATCCTTTGGCAACTCCAGAATTGAAAACTCTTTTCGACATAATTGAAAGTTCAAACTTAGTTTTTATAAAATTGCCGTATAACAAGTGTCTTCAAAAAATAATAAGCTGGATCAAATTAGAAGATCAGGGAGCAGTAAAGTCAGCTACATTAATTTAAATGCCTTATAATCAGTAAAGATAATTTTAGCCTAGCTTAATAGCCTCCGTTATACATTATTTGAGCTGTATCACAAGATTGGCGACGAAAGCCAAGTTGTTTCGTTAAATTTTGTCTTGCTCCTATTGCATACTGAGTTAAACCTGAATTGTACTAGTTTAGTTATTTACTATAGATAACTTTATTTCTTGCACATGCTTAAAACTAATCCGAGTCCTGAATAAATAAACTCCCACATATATTTAAGGCTTTATCTATGGCCGACGCTCGATACAGTGCAGTCTCTACATGTCCTAAATTTTGCTACAAAGTGCTTTTCAGTCATTCTATTCTCTCCCTAATTTTGCTACTTAGTGCTTCCCCAAATTTCAAAAATTTCTCTTTCTCTTTCCTAAATTTTGCCGTCCGGTTATTCTGACAATTTCTGCCACCGCTTTCTGATTTTGTGAATAACATATCAGTTATTCTTAATTAAAATAGCACTAAATGTAATCTTTTGGCCTATGAGTTTCATTAACAAAATCTATTTTTAGAATATGAAAAGAAATTTTTGTTGAATTTGCCTTGTCAACATTTATTAAAGCATTTAAAAATCTATAATCATTGCTAAGCGTAAAAGGTTGCCATACTCTTGTTATTCAATTACTAATATAAAAAAAAGTTTAAATATTATTGCATAAGTTATTACTGAAGCTGTCATGTATTGATAAACATGCAGTGAAGAAAGCAAAATATAATAAATAATGACTTGCCAGGTCGACATCATGGATATAAAATAGGTGAGTGTTTCGGTTTGAGATGTATGCCAAGCAGACAGCTACAGATCCAAATTATTAATCTCACAAATTTATGCTTACATGATTGTTTTTCCATAACAAGTTATTTTATTTAGTGCCTAAATGAATTTAAGAATCGAAATTTTTAAATGAAAATCTCCACGTGTTTTTATGGAAGGAAAAATCAAATGCACTGTTAAAAAAAATATACAAAAAAGTTTTGTGGCTTTTGAGGTCTGGATTAGATCATCCGATAAGGACGTAGATTTCGGACTTTGTACTATATATATTAATATATGCTTCAACTTCATACGAAAAATACGAGTAAATTAAACAATTATAATAAACCCATGCCTATATGGATGACGAAACACAAATGAATAATAAAGAGTTAGGTTTGGAGGCAACTTCCCCTTGAAAAGATCTGTCTCCTGCCTGCTCAGCAATTGTTCACTTTATACAATTAATTTAGTCTTAATTTTTTTTTATTTGTTTTTTAATTTTTAGGATTAATTTTTGGATTATCAAATATTTTATGATGTTTTTTAGATACTTAAACTTAATTTACATATGCTTTCTGAATTTAAATGATATTACAAATTAATTCGCAGCAATAACTAATCTTTTATTTGTATACAATTGAATTTTCATTGTTTAAAATTTAAATTAGCTTTATATAATAGAGAATATTTGTTATATATATGTATATATAGTGATATACATATACCGTATTCGTCAGCATATAAGACACACAATCCTTTTTATACAACTGTGATACACATTCTTGAAGGATATAACTTTATTACTGATCATTTTGGCACAAAATGCCTCTCTGCAGCCTTGTTTCTATGTTCTTTAGTATACACAATCCCACGTAGCTTGTATGCTATATTATAGCTATGCCGATCTTATTTTTGAGCCATAACTTGTCAATAAATTTAAGAAAATTGAACAGGAGAAATTTCACTCTCTTAAAAGTCATTCACAAAAACTGGAAAGTTTAAATGAACCCAACTGTGATCGCCGATGACAGTGCATGTGCATTCACTGAGCTCTACGTAACTGTAATATTCCCACACTCCACAAGGAAATAAGAAAAAATAGCAAAACTCCGAATAGAGGGAATTTCCAGAAATGAATGTAATTGAAAACTGAGTATTGACGTATAAGATGTACCTATTTTTCAGACCTATTTTCAAAGAAAAAAAAAGTCTGTCTTACATGCAGGCAAATATATATATATGTATATATATATATTTGCCAATGAGTTAATATATATCTATATATATATATATATACAGTCAAAAGTCTTCAATCCGGAATGATCTATAATCCAGACCTCAAACCTACAAACTTTCTGTGCATGCATAAATGCAAAATGTGTTTGCGCATGCACGTAATACCTTTATGCATGTGCATAAGCGTTTACGCATGCGCGTAATACCTTAACGCACACACATAATATGTTTACGCATGCGCGTTTAATGTATAACGGAGTATAAGCTAAGCTATCTATTTCATTTTAATGTTGCAGATCATTATTCCTTAATCTCGAATTGGATTCTTTATTTTTTGTACTATTAGAGCAATTTTTATAAAAGTAAGTTGAACTTCGATTATGTCAATGACTCCGATGCTGGATACTGGCAAGGATCTACAAAGTGAAAGCATGTTTCGATGTCCTCAAACAAAAAGTGGAATGCTGCAAAAAATGGATAATGCATATCCTTTGTTTCTCTAACCATCCAAAATCTGCTTATCAATTTCACTGCTCTGCGGGGGAGGGCGTCGCGCAAGAACTGGAAGTTGATCTGTCAGCACTATCCTTATCTTCAGGGCAGATGTTTTTATTTTATTCGGCTTATAGTTCATTACTAAATGTAGTATTTCATCTCGATGTACTCTTCTTTGATATGATTTAAAAAAAATTCCTCTTCATTATAAATATCACGAACACATCAAATAGTTTTCTGGTTGCAATTTTCTAATTTCGACTATGCGTAATGATGCTTTACCATGCGTGCATTGAAAGAAAATGTTTAATAAAGTAAACAAATAAATATTAACCTTTTTTTTTTTTTGGTAAATTTTGATACCATTTTAGATCATAATTTCTTCTTTATTCTTAAATTACGGTTTCAAATTTTTAATTTTAGAATTTCTGCACGTCATCTTACCAGATTTAAACTGATGATCTATAATCCGGAATCGCCGAAGTCCCGATGAAGACTTTTGACTGTATATACTTTTTTTACTTTGTATCTATATCTATATATATATATATACACACACATCACATTTTGAAAATAAAAAAGGATACATCAGGATCTGCATATGCTTGTATTAATTTAAAATTTTCTTCAATACATTCATAGATGGTAACCTGTAATTTAAAATATTTTTATTAATCAGGTTGATTCTGTCATTGTATTATTAAACTGATTTACTTAATAATAATCAAATTTACTATGTATAAATTATTTGAGCTGAAATACTACTAATTTATATGAAAACTAATAATTTATGTATCTGGGAATTTAAGTGGTATTTTTAATTATATGGCAGGAATTTTCACATTTACTTATGCGAAAAATATTTTACAGTAGAAAATTAACTAGGTATTCATTATTACTCTGAATAATTAATATTATATGTTGTATAATTTTACAAAATATGTTTACAGGGGACACATTTTATAAGGAAAGAAACAATTTGTGATTTTAAATATCCAATGCACGTTAACTTCAAAGCAGAAAAAAAATTAGTATTGATTTTACAAACCTAGAAAAACTTTTAATTCATAGGATTTAAATTATTCAAAAGTTGAGCCAATGAGTTTGTTAGCCAAATCTTCAATTCATGGATAAATATGTTAGAAGGTTCTGGGTGAACAGCTTAAAAAGAATTTATTTCCATTCTCAAGAATAAGATATGCAGTAACTCGATTGTTAATATACTCATAGTTATTATATGTACTGAGATAAAATACTAAAAAAATTTTTGCTTTTAACATTTAAACTAAAACTTGTGAATGACAGCAGATGAATATACAAAATGAAAGCTGATAATAAAAGTCTTTGAACCATTATTTTAAAAATATTGTAGGTGCACTAAGCAAACATTCATAAACAGCCATAGCTCCATGCTACAAGAATATGCATTTTAAAATAAACTGTGCACTCTTTTCTTCTTCCTTCCACTTGACAATACCTAAACAGAAAATGAAGAACAAAGATTATTATAATAGATAATTCAGGCAAATCACACAAGGGCTATCAGCTTGAATTTCATCCCCAAGTTTGTAAGTAACAAACAGGATAGAATCTGAGGGTCTGCAGCCTCCTTTCCCCACATCAGCAATTTCTAGAGGCCTTTCTGATCAACATATTTCATCTACCCCCATTCTACACAGATACTCCCAGTGTGATAAAATCCATATCTTACTCAGGATTTGAATTTGGGCCAAATGGCATTTATAGATAGCCCAAACTAATCTTAAGTCTTGAATGAAAATGTGAAAGTTAATGAAAATATACAGGTATTATCATACAAAATTATTGCAACATATGTAACATACTAATTCAGAAGTCAAACAACAAAAATCAGCGTTAATTTACAAAATTTTCCCGGACTATTTCGATGGTTTTTACCGAACCACGCACTCATCTGCAAAACCGCAAATGACAGATAGGAAATAATGTTTAGGGCGCCATCTGTGGTGCAACCAGAAACTAAAACAAATTTCTTTAAAGGCCGAAGGCAAATTTGATTGAATTAGGACGTTACTAGAACATAAAGATTTTTATGATGGAATGCCTAGAAATCCAGTTCTCCATGGAGATTTTTTGAATAATTTGGCAGCAAAAAACTGAAGTGTGGTCGACTACAATGTTAGCACAGAATACTTCTGTGTTCTTTTTTCATAGGCTCATGTTCCTTAGCAAATTTAGCTCCTAGTTGGCCAATGTAAATTAACCACTGGCAAGGAATCTATAATACCCCAGGAATTCATATCGGATGGGGTTTGAGTATAAACTCGGATTTTTGAGGGAGAATAAACACCAAAGTTAATTTCTGCAAAATATGTGCAACTTATAGCTATTGATGGAAAGAAGGAATGAACAACAGAATTTTTGTAATCTCCTAAAACAAGAATGTGCCTTTAGTGGTGAGAAGAGAATTTTTTAATCTTGTTACTAAGTTGGGTGGAAGCCTGCAATAGCTATTGCTTTTAAATAATTATTCTTTATCAGGAATAGTTTGGAGAGCAACTTGAAGACACGTAAAACTAGGAATAAAATGAGCTAGCTCTTGTTTAGTCGGATGACATGATTAAAAGTGTGGTAGAAGGGAAACCGATGAAGGTTTACGGAAACGTAGTACTGAAGTGATGTTTATGTGTGACGAATGTCGAGAAACGAAGAGAATGCAAGTCTCAATTCAAAGGAAACTAGCGGATCATAGAATTCATTGTTGAAAGAACTTTATTTAAAATCTTTATTACCTTCAAACAGAGTAAATATCGTCTACGTAAACCAGCGGGAGTTTAATGTTTAAACAATTTTGATCCTAATAATGCATGTAAATCAGCAGATGGGTGAGGGGGCTTTCATGCTATCCCTCACTTTGCTTGTAATATTTATTTTGAAAAAAATGTGTTTTGTTTCAAAAGGTTGAGTGAGAGAATTAGCTCTCAATTTCGATGCAAGACAATGAATTCACAAATCTGGTTTCTAGACATCTTAATGCACCTCCACTGGATATTGGTGAATAATTTTTACCTCAAAGAAACATGAGTAAATTTCTAGAAAATGTTTTTAACTTTTTTACAAACTCCATTGAATTTTTATTGTGTAAATGTTTATGTCTAATAGATTGAAATCTAGAACTAATATTTGCTATGATATGAGGCAGTACCTATTTGATAAATAGGGGGAGGATACCACTTTATGATTTGGAAGAGCTTATCTGCAAATTCGCAACAGATGGGAAGTGAATGTTTTAAGTTGCCTGAATGCTTTGAAATTTGATCGCATTTTCATTTTTGACAGTCGAAGGTGAAGGATCTTTAGGATCGGATTTATGGTCCTTGTTAAGAGTTAGTGACACCATCATGTAGTGTTCCTATCCATGAAGCTATCTGACCACCTTTGCGCCTTGAAATATAATACCGGGTAGATGATTTCACGCATTGTTCTCTTTCTCTCACAGTTAGATTGGTTTCAAGTTCATTATTGAATTCACATTCTGAGCGATAAGATGCCTAATCATTCTTTCTTGATCTGACCGTACTGAACTTGAAAGTTTTTTAGGAGCAAATCTTGGAACGGAGACAGTTTGTGAGAAGTTAAAATTATATTTTGAGCTCTCTTGTTCTTCGAAAGACTACATTATAAATTAACTATTGGCTTGAGTTCCAAGGGAAGATTTTTGACTACTGAATGGAAGACTGTAAAAGAACTTTTTCGAATTTATCTGCAAGGGTATTTTTATGACTGTTAACTACATTCTCTGTTCTAGACCAAGACTTTTGTTCAAGGGCAGTGAATTTTTATATGAATTAGCGAGTTCCAGATGACGCTTATAGAGCTCATGTTCAATTTTGGAAAATTGCTGATGTGTATCCCTTATGATGGACTGAAGTAAGGCAAGCTTGTGGATTAACAGAATGCTTGAAACGCAACTGGAAGGTTTTTGATTGGATTTGATTTGAATGAAATTGGGGATCAATTTTTTACATTTATACTTAAGTAAAAAGTCAAGAAGATTCAAGAATTTTTGCCGTTTTCAGGCGGAATTTAGTGAAACGATTAACGGATGAAGGCATGATAAACAATGCAGAAAATCAAACCAAATTAACTGAAGCCCCCAATCTAAACATTTATTTCCTATATGTTCATTTGAGGCTTTGCAGTGAAGAGATGGTTCGGTTTAAAACCATCGAAAACTAGTCCTATGAAAATTTTGTAAATTAACGCTGATTTTTGTTGTTTGACTTCTGAATTAGTATTTATTCAGCGTGTTATTGTGTCTTAATTATATGTAATATATTTGGCTCCATGAATTATGTCACTCAGGGTCTCACCTGAAATAGTTAGTAGTCTCTAAATAAGTGAATCCTTCCATGAGAAAAAGAAGTAAGAAAAAGCCCAAATGAAGTGCCAGATATGTTTTATACATAAATCACAGAACTTTGAGCATAGCATCTAGAAATTTTTGTTCTGCAAGAACTGCAACACATTACATGATTACAACTAAAGCCCAAATTTAGAGAATACATGTAAAAGAGTCAACAGCAGCAATTAGTTGCTAAGCGACATCTGATTACTGCAGATCAGCTGATAACCAATAAGAACTGCCCTTAGCAACTAGTTATCAAAATTTACATCACATGAGGTAACACTTGAATTGAAAAAACTCAAACCTGTTTTGTTTTGACACTTACTTATTATTAATGGAAAAAAGAAATAACTAAAAATATAATATTTAAAATATAAGTTTGGCAGTCGTGAAAGAAAATGGCATATATTATAATATATATATAAATTTACACCACTCTGTCACAAAAATATATATGCATTCAGAAGGGAATGAACTACTATCACAAAACTTAACATGCATGTAGTGCATGAGGAGATAAACTAGTGATTACAAATTCAGAACGAAAGATCTTTATTAAGAAGTTACGGCATGAAAAAGGTTACAAATTAGTAAGTAGTACAGCCACCACTGGCCAAAACATGCCGTGGAATCGAATCAAATAAGTCACCTATAACACCCTGCAGGAAATCATGCAATAATCTTTGCAACTGTGCAGTTAATTCACCAAGAGTCGTGCACATTGTCCTGCTGACAAATGGCACATGAGCGACTTGATAGCATAGGCAGTACCACCAGCATTAAAATGTCATCCATGTAACTGCAAGATGTCATAGTGCCTTGAAAGACAACTAGAGGTGATAGTGGGGCCCAACAAATCACTTCTCATGCTGTCTCACCTTATCTAATCAGCAGATGCTACTCGATAACACACGCCAGATCAGTCCCGCTGGCCTGGCCACCTCCACATGCATGCACATTGGTCATCACCACCGAGACTGAATCAGGATTCATCGGTGAAGATCATACGCCTCCAGTTAGTCACACTCCAGCTTGCCTGAGTTCAGCAAAAATCTGGTTGACACTGCCAATGATGCGGGGTCAATAGTAGGCATTTTAATGAACATCGGCAGCATATACCAGTGTCGGCCAGTTGTCTCCAAATAGTTTCTCTTTATACTGTTGACTTGATGTTCTGTTGTTTTTCTCATACAAATTAGTTCAGAGGTCAATTGTGATAAACTAACGTGGTTGCCGCTGATTGGTCTATGATGTAGTACCAGT